TCCTGCGGGGCAGCCGCCCCTGCGTCAAGTAGGGCGCGTTCCCGCGGGCCCCGCTCCCCTCTCCCGGGCCTGCACCTCTCCCGGCCCCCGCGGGAGGGAGCCCCGCCGTCAGGGACCGGGCGAGGCCGGGGGGATGCTTACCCCGGGGGGCGGGCGCGGCCCCCCCTCACCCCCGAACGCTTCCATTGCAGGTACACTGGACACTATTTTATAACCACTCTGCTCTACTCGTTTTTCCTGGGTTGCTTTGGAGTGGATCGATTCTGCCTGGGCCATACCGGGACCGCCGTGGGGAAACTGCTGACTCTGGGAGGACTGGGGATCTGGTGGTTCGTTGATCTGATTCTCCTCATCACCGGTGGGCTGATGCCCAGCGACGGCAGCAACTGGTGCACCGTGTACTGAGAGGAGCAGAACCGACCCCGAAAGAGGCGAGCGGCGTCTGCAGGACTGGGGACAGACTCCTCCGCTTGTGCTGCAGCACCAGAACAGACTTCTGCCTTGCACAAACATGGATTTACAAAGCTGTAACTTCACGTGCAGAACAATTATTCTTGTTAATTCCTCTGTACAAACCTCGGACACAAAATTGTTCAGTATATATTTTGCTTGTTTAAAATAATCTGGATTTCCCCCCGCCCCAAGCGGGAACAGTTTAGGAAATCAGACCTTGCAAACACAGGGGGTCAAACAAAGCTTAATAAAGTCTGGAAGGAGCCGACTGTTACAGTTACTTTCAATATTAGTAGAGGACGTACAGCCACACAGAGACGCAGGCCACTAGCGTGTGGTTTTGTGTTGCTAGACTCTGCAAACCTTTAAAGTTGGGTAATCTGTCACAAAGTTATAGAGACTCTGTGGCAAAGTGATGAGCTCCAATTCTACATTATTTGCTTAAAAACGGTGCTCGCTGGGTGCAGGGGGAGCTGGGTTTGGTTTAGTAGAACCTGCACCCTTTGGAGAACGTTACTTTCCCCTCGCTCGCAGGTGGGGAAAGCCACAGTGCAGCAAATAAAGTTACTATTCAGGCCTCTCGGAAGAAGCACTTGTGTCCATCGATGTAACTCTCCCTGCCTTGCTCATATTCTGGAAACATCTGTAGGACACTGCAACCATTCCAAAGTACACGTGTTATTTCAAAACTACCCGTTTCTCCTCCTGTCCCCCGCCCTTCATAGTAAATAAGTGTGCTTTTCAAAGCATCCCCCATCACACTGCCTGCAGCAGCCGGTTGCATTCCCTTTCCCTGCTGCCAGATAGTCATATTCTTTAAAACCATGACCATTCAGCAGTAACCATTCGTGTTTTACAAAAGTGTTAAATACCAGCTTTGCCTCATCAGTGACGGAGGGCTTGTGTCCTTCAGGAGCTCCAGGGAGTGCCGGGGAGCTGCGGGAGAGCTGGGAAGGGCCCAGAGCTGCCGCGGGTAGCTCCCGTCTGCGTGCCGGTCAGCCCCGGCTCCAGCCCGCAGCACAGGGCGCGTGCGGTGCCGAGATGAGTGGGAGCTTCAAGCAACCTCGCGCCCAAAAGAGGAAGCCCCACCAGATGCAGTCTGAAAACTTACTGAGCTGAATAAAAACGGGAAAAGGAAGCTGCAGTAAGTCACAGCCAGAACCAGACACAAAATCTGTATATGCAAAAGGCGAGTCGCATTTGACGTAAAATACAGCAAACATACACCCTCTGTTCTCACACAGTTCTGCAAACCGAGGGCCCTCCGGCCGTTTGCATTTGGTGATTTTCTGCCTGTGTTACTTCGGTCTCCGGTGGGGCTGCAACGGGGTTCAATCTGGCCGGGAATTCTGCCTATTCCAGTTTTGGTTTGTGGTTTATTGCAACAGCTCCTCCTCTCCGGGGAATGGGGTTTGTATCCCATTTAGGTCACAAGTAATCTGAATTTGGCAGCTTTGCACAGGCCTCAGGGCAGCGGGGTGGGGGGAGGCTTCATCATGGAACTACCGCATTCTTCAGACCAGTGGAACAACGGGGCTGAAAAGCCCATGGTGGGGAAAAAATGATGCAGTGAGCCAGAAAGAAAAAAATAATAATTCCATGTGCAAAAAGCCCATCGTCATTAACATCTCCCCATGTCCTCAGCCCAGCAGCTGCCAGCTAACAGCAGGACCTCGAATTCCTTCTGTGTACGGGGCCATCATGGACTATGCTGAGAAATACCAGGGTATTGCTCCGACAGCTTTCCTCCTGCCGGCGTGTTCAGAAAGGCAAAGACAGCTGTGACGTCCCCGCCACCGCCATGCACTCGTCCCCTCTCGTGCCCAGAACCCACCTGTGTGCCCGGCAGCACCGCCGGTACCCACCTCATGGTGGCCAAAAGCAGAGTA